TGATGTCCAACTACTGCAAGTTAGGTGTTGTATAAGTCTCTTTATATATAGCGTTAGTTTGAATGCTTCTGACCCTCCAAAGCTCACGTTGAAACTTAATCTTCAGTGGAACAGTATTAAGAAGTGATTATGTCATGCTAGCTCCCCACTCATAAATAGATGGATGCTCTTATAAAGGCATCTGGAGGATACTAGCTATGCCCTGTTTTGCCCTTCTATTCTTCCACAGCATTTATCATCTTAGAAGTAGAGCAGCCCTCACCAGATACCAAACCCACCAGCACCTTGATCTTGGTTTCCTCAGCCTTCAGAATGGTGAGAAAATAAATTTCTGTTCTTTACAAACTATCCAGTGTCAGGCATTTCGATATTGCAGCACAAATGAAGAAAGGCATATACATTACCTCACTCATTGCTCCCAACAACTTCAAAGAAGAAGTAAATGCATTATAATTCACTTTTTGCAGAAGTAAACTGACCCTGAGAAAGGCTTTATTAACTTATCCAGGGACACACAGCTAAGAATTGCCAGGCTGTCTTTCCAAAGACTGTGTTTTTACCTGGTCCAACATTGATCTCTTATCTTTAAAAGCATTTCAAAACAACTTTTAAATTAAATTCAAAAGTACTACTGAAGGAATGTTGTCCATTATTCCAAATTATACTCACTTGGAAGCTCACAGGCCTTGCAGTCAATGGGCAAGTGAGGTGTTAATATGTAGGTATTTAGAATAGAAACAGCTAATTGTAGCTTAGACTGAGAAAAATGGGCAGAGACCTGCTCAGAGATAAGGCAAAAATCAAGCAGGAATTTGCAGACCAAGCTTCCCAGCACCCACCAGCAGTGTAGAAAATGGCTCTGAGTAATCCAGAGACAGTCCCTTCAAGCTGTGACTCCTGCCAAGACTAGCCCCTGCGCAGCCTGGGCGTGGGACTCTCACCACATGAGTCCAAGTGGACCTCACATATGCGAAGTCAGCGCTTTAACACTCCTTAACAAACCACCTTAACACAAGAAGCAAAACATTTCGTTTCAAGGTATCGTATGTGACAGTATTCCCCCCTACCTGTACTGTACCTCACAATACAAAGGAGTGCCCCTACCTCCACATTTTGGAAGCTGAATAAAATTATTCGGGAGTGAATATTAGCATGATTCTATTTAAATAAAACCCCAAAATTCTTCACCTAGAAATTAATGATCACTATACTTAAAATTTTGTAATTAGACAAAATGAATGGAAGGCATCACTTATGCAATCAGTGGCAAGTTTCAACTTCTGTTTCCAGCCAGTATCAAAGAGGTGGGTTGATCTGCCACGGGATAACACATTCATTCCTCTTGCCCTCCCTGGCACCCGCTGTGGAATATATTACTCCATTAGAGAAGTTGCTGTTGTGAGCTTGTTAGGTAAGTGGGATCTGTAATTCAGCAACCAAGCTTTGGAAATTATCCCTGTACCAGCCAAGGCTTAAACTTCACTAGGTACCAATGTCCAGAAGGTTTCAACACTATAAAAAAAAATATCTAAGAAGATATCAGTCAAGGCCTCAAATAGTCTTTTAATTTATGGCAAGAACACAGAGCTATATTCTCTCACTATCTTCGAGAAAGAGAGCAATACTGTACAATGCTCTTCGTTGTCTTTTTCTCTGCTCTATATTAAAACCTGAATGAACTGGACTTTTAAAACTGCACTTTTTTTTTAACCTTTCACCCAACAAAGAATACAATAAACAGTAGCCTCATTCAGAGATCATCAGTACAAAGTAGAATGCCTTGACACTTAATATCATCATTATTATAGGCTTAGTAGTAGACATGTAGGAAAATAAGAAAAGAGAAAAGAAGAAAGCCGTGATGGGAAAATTTGGAGACCCTCCACCCTCCCCTTTCCACAGCCTCCATCCTTGGTGCCCATGTGCACGCTCTCTGGAAGGCCCAGTAAGGCCAAGGATCCCTCTCTAGGACATCCTGGTATCCTAACCAAACTTTACAACTCTGTGCTCTCTCCATCTGCCTCCACTTCCTTCATGCCCCAAGTTACAGGTTTGACAGCTGGAATCTAATGTCCTCAGGGCCAGGCTTGGTTGGTAGAAAAGACAATAAACATGTCCTGTGAGGCTATGGAAAAGAGCAAAGCAGAGGACTCCATTTCTTCCATTGTCTGCTGTAGGTACATTCAAACTGCTATCATTCCTGGAGATAACAGCCCCACTTCCATTGAGTTACCCCAATAGCAACCCCCTGGATGGGGATCCCAGCTCAGAGAGTAAGAAAATATAACACCCTGTCAAGCACCATCCTGGGCCCCTGTGATGGAGATGGCTGAATGAGGAATGAGGGCGGTAAAATCACCGGGCTAGCTGCAGCTTCCTCACTATGCATGTGCCCTAAGTGCATACAGAGTCAAGCAGAAATCGCGCCTGCCTTCTACTCCCACCTCAGTACAGATTAACCACAATCATCGTTGGACTTACAAACCCAACAAATATGGATGGCTTGTAGAAAACAATCTTTTAGAATCCAAGCACCAGAAACACCAGTTTCTACAGCCCTTGTCAAAACCAAGTTGTAGGGAGTTGTGCAACCAGTTTCACGTGACTAGAAGGTTCTTTTGTTTGGCAGCCAGGTAAAACAGGACTGACTCCTTTAAACAATCTCCCTTCCCCTACATACCCTTCATACACAGAATTCCTTCTGAAGCCACTAAAAATCCCTTTCACAGAACAGAGAGATGAGAACTATCCACTTGTTTCTGTGTGAGCCTATCTTCCCTCTACCTCCAACTATCCTAGCAAGTTCCCCTCTCTTTCTCAAACCTCTTCTCAAAACTCCCACATTGCATGTTCCCAGGAAGGCTTTTCCTACAATGGCTCTCCTCTAAATCAAAATGGCTGGAGTCCAAAGGTTGTGCCAAAGAAAAATTCAGCTATCTGCCAGCAAAGCCTCAGCGATATGCCTGACCTTTCCTTCCTCTGTTTTTTCTTCTTAATTGTCATGTCTACCCCAACTAAGTGACAAACATGAGGTAAGAATTGCTTTTATCCTTATGTTTTTACAGTGCTTCAGATGATTACTCCACTCAATAAATTGAAAATCATTATTATACACAAATGCATATGCTAATGTGTGACCTGTAAGCTTGGATGGCAGAATGAATAAACAATTACTGGCAAACACCAGGGTATGGCATTTCAATGAAGTCATCACAGAATCACTAGCAATTATCTCTTCAAACTTAAGGTGAGGTGTCTGTGGACTAAAAGAGGAAAATGCATACTTGTGCTTTAAAAAGAGAAAAAAGAAAATTTAATAATGACTCAGCTCCTTAAAATTAAGATCCAGAAATATGTTGCAATATTATACATACACACACACTAGCATGCTGGGAAAAAAGATAATTTTTTTATGTTTTTCAAAAAATTAGTCCCATGTTATCCCTCATAAACATGACAAGTTTATGAAGAAAAGTTTTTGAAGACAAGTATCTGAAGAAAACAAAGTGGAAGGAAAAGATGTTAATAACTTTGACTACTGTGTAGACTTAAACTTTATCTTGCCTGTCATTTGGCAATTTAAAAACTGCATCCTGAAATCATCTTCTCATCAGGTGGATTCATAAGTGATTAAAAACACCTTTCCCAGTAAGTAATTATTAATGGTCCAGTGTCATCCCAGAGATGCATACCTCATGGGATTTCAAAGACATTGGTCTTAACCTAGTGCTATTTTTGGTAGTGACTTAGGTGATGAGAGAAAATATGGTCATTAAATTCAGTGATGACATCAAACTGGGTGTGGTACATTCCACTTTGGAAAACTGGATAGAAGTGCAAATCTCTTGATAAGTTGGAGAAGTGGGTGGACATAAACAGATTGAGGTTCTGTAATGTAACTCACATGGGAAGAAAAACAAACCACACAATTGCAGGATTCATCCTCTGATGTCATAAAGAAAACGATCTGGAGGTCATAGCTAACACTAGATATTGATATTCACACTTTAGCCTTAAAAGCATGTTTGATTTAGTAAAAGAAAAACAGGGGAGATCTTCCCTAGATGCTCAGTATGACTACAGTCTATCCTACAGTACAAAACTCAATGCCATCTGAAATCTAACGCTTCAAAGTGGAATATGAAGAATATGGGGGACATTTAAGAAAAAAAATCATTGTTTTATTGATGACATGTTTGGGAAACAGCCATTGGAGAAACAACTACAATCATAAAGTATTTGGTCTGGAAAAGTTGAGGAAGACTTAAATATTTTCAAGCCTAGAAAAGGAGAAAGTTAGTAGGGAATAAATTCAAATGATATTAGAAAAGCCCCCTAACAAACACACACACACACACACACACACACACACACACACACACAGAGCTATAGAAAACTAGAGTGTGTCACAACTGAAATAAGATGCCCTTCACAAAATCTTCAAAAAATGGGTCAAATTTAGGAACAGTTTTAGGTATAGATAGAAAATTGGATTACACACATGACAGTATAATAAAGAGTAAAGCATGGCAAAAATGGAAGCAAAGCTTTTGTACACAGGGAGAGGAGGGGGATTGTGGGGAGGAAGGGGTAAAATAAAATAAAACTTATTTTTAAAATATTTGTGTTTTTTGTTTATCTGGTTTATCCTCCTTTATTTATAAAGGAAAGCAGTAGAAGGGAAGGTGAAGAAACGCCATCCACAGTGTTTTGGGGCCTCACATTTCCCGTGGGACTTGGTGACATCTCAAGCCTCAAGGACAACCATGCTTCCCCATATCTGAGCACTGCCTGGTTTGAATCTTTGATACGATGTTTCAGGAGTAGGCTTCACAAGTAACAGTGAGTTCTAAAGAAACGACAAAACCCACACCCTTGGCCACCTCTAAGGTGGTATGCAGCCTGACTCCCGAATATTTCCTTTTGTTCATTCCCACCACTGGGCTTTGGTACAAACCACTGGATCTGATCTGGAATGCATAATATGTCCTTCCACCAACCTCCTAAGGACTTCCGGCTTCAGGACCAAGGCAGGATGCAGTACCATCTCTCACACGGCTTGTCTAACCTCTCTTGCTCACAGTGATTTCTCCTTCTTAGGAACTCAGAGCACTTGTTTACTCTCAGTGGCATTCCTTTGTTATACTGTCACACACGGCCTTGTGACATCTCAGGCAGTGTTGAGTCACCAATCAGCATTTACTGTGTATCTGCATTGCTCTTCCACCTAGGCCGTAAGCTCTGTGAAGGTGAAGATCATGTGTTAAACTGTTTTGTATCCTCATGAAACACCTAATTCAGTAAGCACTATGTTTATGACAGGAGCTAAGTTAATACTTGCTTATCAAATAAATGAAAGAATAAGGAGAATGTTGCAAGTTAATTCAATCTTCTAAGAAAAGTTTCCTACCTTGGGAAACTATTTCTGGAGAGATATTATTTCATGAGAAAATAAAAAGCAATTGAAGGGAGATTTTACAAATTCTTAGTTGGAAAAGTAGATGTCAACACTGTAAGAGACCCAATAAAATAATCATAATGCTTCTTTATACATAGTAACATTAAAACAAGAGGATAGGTTATAATAATTATATTTTCTGGGGCCAGGGATTTAGTTCAGTGGTTCTGCTGCCTACCTCGCAAGCACAAGGTCCCAAGTTCAATCCCAGGTACCAAAAATAATAATGATAATAATAATTATATTTGCTGATATTTTTGTCTGAATAGAATGTTTCTTATCAGCACATGCAAAAACCAAAACTACTGCATGTGTACGTTTCATTTAAGATGATGTTGTCTAATAAAAGTTGAGCTATTTTAAGATTGATATTGTATGTTCATTCTGCTCCTGCTCACTGTGGCTGATCTCTCTGATAAGACTGCCAACAAAGTGGCAGAAGTGGTGGCCATTTTACAATGTCATGTCTCAGACTTTGAACTAGAAAATGGATTCATTTTATGGTGATAAATATCCATTGTCACTAGTCTGGATCGTGACTGGTCGAACCTATGACCTAGAACCTAAAATGACTACATCCGTAGCACCTTTTTTTTAAAAAGAAAAAATCCCAAAATGAAGTTTCACTATTGTAAGCTCTATTGTTTGTTATCTAAACACTGTAGAGTTGAAAACTAATAAGAGTTATTATTATGCACATTGGTTGAAAAGGTTGCTTGACATCTCTGTACAGCTTGCTCTTCACTTGAGCAACACTTGGAGTAATTTTCCGGGAACGTATTGACCATTGTAGTAGCACAATATATCCATTAAATTTCTAAAATAATTCATAATGTCCAAAGTTCTTTGAAGAGCAAGTGAAATAGGGTGGGAGGAGGGAAATAATTTTGGTATAAACTGTGAGTTTAAGAATCAATCAAAAAAAGAAAAAATTCCTGCCAGAAGCTACATAACCTTGATTCTATCTTGAACACCTGAAACTCTAACAGAAACCTGTTTCTGTACTAAACCTTAAGAGATTTCCATTGAAAGATGGCTACTAGCCCTTCATCCTTCAGTAATATATGCTGGTTCCATTGTCATGGAGAAAATCCACATCTTTGACTCCCTTTAGAACAGTGAGCCAGGCAGTTAGTTGAATACAAAGAGACATTTGCATGGAGCCAACAGTATCTAGATAGCAGGGGAGAGTTCCAAAGTCCTGAGAAGATAAAACATTCAGGAGTTATGGTAATCCTACAGGTCTTTAAAGTGTTTTGCTTGGTGGCACATTACTATCCAAAGTATTCAGAAAAGCTCACTGTCTTGAGTTCTCAAGAGATATGTAGCAATGCTGGGCGTGGTGGCACTTGCCTGTAATCCCAGCACTCAGAAGGCTGAGGTGGGAGGATCACTGTGAGTCCAAGACCAGCCTGGGCTACACAGTGAGTTCCAGGGCAGTCTCAAGTACATAGTGAGACCCTGTCTCAAAACAAACAAACAAAAAAAGAGAGATACATAGCAAGTTCAGGGGCAAAGAAATAGGGAAGCTTTTAGACACAGATTCAGCTTAACTTATGATAGTGTTGCATTCTGGTAAACCCATCAATAGTTGAAAATTCTGTAGGTTAAAACTATATCTGATGCACCCAATCTACTGAAGACCCTAGCTTAGCAACACAGCACACTGTACAGTGTAGGCTGCTTATCTTCATGATCTGACGGCTGGCTGGGAACTGCGACTGTTCCCACGGCCCAGCATCTTGAGAGTATGTGAGTGTTATCACATATCCCTAGCTGGGGAAAAGGTCAAATTTCACAGTATAGTTTCTGTCCAATGCATATTGCTTCATACCATCATGAAGTCAAAAACTTGCTAGTCAAACCATCCTAAGTTAGTGATCGTCTGCACATTCTGCCATGGTCAGACAGATGCTGGTCAACTGAGAAATGAATAGTGAATGAGAAGCTAGTTTCAGAGATGTACAGATCCCTGCTCTGATATTAGCCCTCTTATTAGGGGCATACCTCTCTGTTTTAGTTTCTTACTTTAGGTTGACAAGAGGAATAAATGAAAGAAGAGTTGTACAATGGTTAGCACGACACCTAGGACAGACTAATCTCTCCACTAATTGGGCCTTGAGAGAAGATCTCTGCTATTTGGGGTAAAGTAGTTCATAAGTATATAGGACAGCAAGGATAACCTGCTCTGGAACCTCTCCACTGAGTCAAGGCCATGACAGAAATCATCACTAACCAGAACATCACTAACCAGTCTAAATAAACAGTACATGGGCTCCAGGCAGGAGCCTTGGGCTCTTACCTGAGCATGGCGATTTATTTCCAATTATTTACTGAATTAATTGAACAAAAGAACAGGTACTGTGTGGAGCAGGAGTAGAAGCAACACCCTGAAGAATCCAAAGGACTTCCATAAAAGTAATCACAAATTAAAATTCTGGAACTTTCTTTTAAGGCCAATAGTCATTCTTTTTGAATGCATTATTTTGACATATTTATTTCATCTCTCTCCTAGTCTCTTCATCCTTTGGCCTGTGAACTCTAAAGATTTTAACCAGATGCAATTCATGACACAAATTGCTAAGTAACGTTTGTTTCTTTTTCATTTAACATTTGTCAACAGGTCTGAGTGTGACATTCACAGTGCTACGTACTCAGACTGTGGCCAATTTCAGGAAGTTCTCTCTCATCCAACAGGAATGTTCCACAAGCTAGAAGAAATCACTGGCCAGGAGGAGGCACTGGAGCAATCCCATCACACCCTCTGTGGGCCTGCTGAAACTTCTAACCTGTTTTCACTGCTTCTCTGTGCCAACAGGGTCATTTTCTGACCATGGATTGAAAGGAAGAAAGAGGAGGAAAGAGATGGTGTGGGTTTCTTTCCCTGGGGGTCAGAGGGAACAGGGGAGTATATGCCTGTGAGTCTTAAATTTTCATTTAATTTCCATGAAAGTTAAAAAAAAAGACTATGGAGTATTTCATGCCCACTGTGGGAAAACGGGTCACTCCTCATTTCACTCTACTTCAAGCACTTTCTCAAGTGTTTGGGATTTAGGAAAGCTGACTGAAATTAAGCCAAGAAGATACTGAGAATAACTATGAAGTAGGAGAAATTTCACTTTGTTCTCTTATTGGATCACATGTGAACACAAAATTTTCCCCAAGTTCCCAAAATATTTGGGATTGTCATTACTCAAAAATATTTGATCCTGGACATCCCCTCAAAACTGTTTTCAAGCCAGAATGGTAGTGAGAGGATTATATGTCCAGGAACTATTTTTTAAAATGATGGAAAAACCTTAAACATGTAGTTACATTTTAAATAAAATCATAACTTGATATTAATATCAATGCATTTGTGTCAATAAACAGTAATTTAACAGTCATTAAAATACAACAGAATTCCAAAGCTAGATATATATATTTGATAAACACTAAAGGAAGATATTTTTTAAACAGGGTTTAGTGAATTTGCCACCTACAAACGATGGCGATTTCAAATTTATGCTAAATTGAATTGACATTTGTTAAAATAGTAGAGGGTGACTGGAAATCAGAGATGAATAAAATACAGCCATTGCCTGCTGCACCTTCAAACAGCTAGGCAAAGCAGTGAAGTGAGCTCAGGGATGCAGCACAAGACAGTGTGTCCTTACAGTGACCAGACATCCCACAGGAGCTCTTAACTCCCTCTGGGGAGACAAAAAAGGATCTGTGCACATGGGACTTCTAAAAGGCAGGGGAAAATTTTCCACATGGTCATCACAGGGAGATAAAGATGACAGAGACTGTTCCACAACTTAAGGAAGTTTAGTGAGACTACATGAAGGATTTACATTGAGTGGGTGCTGGAGAAAAAGGTTGAAAAAAAGATAAAACTGGAAAGTAAGTACAGCGAGAACTTTAGAAAGGCTTGGAGTATCCCTGAACATAGCTTAAGCTTTTTATCCTATAGTGATTGCCAAGATGAATCTCGGTTTATGCTGTAGTCCCAAGATAATAGTTCCCTGTATTCCTGATACTCTCATAAGTGTCCCAGGTGGATTAAATTTCATGGTCTTCCTAGTGATTGGAAGCCACTGGCCCTAGGGATACAAATATAAATCAACCTAACTTCTGCCCTCACAGAGTTCATAGGAATAAAAGAAGATGACACAGAAAGAGCTAATTATAATAGAACTTAAAAAGTGACATATGTTATAATACAATAGTACACATTACCAAAGGTTATGGCATTTAAGCAGAGCTTCGAAGATGAGTGGGGATTGAAGAGGGATGCAAGACCATTCTAGGCATGAGTGGTCAGGCCCTGTTGTAAAAAGGCAAGTTTCCAAGCTTACTGAAGGCGAGCAAACTTTCCTGGCTTTGGTAGCAGTTGAAGATGAAAAGTTAGCCTTGTAGACAAATTGTCAAGGATCTTGGATATCATATCAAGGAATGTAGAGTTGATAATGTCAGCCACAAGGAAAGCTCCGGGATTTATAATCAGAGGATATGTAGGACCCAATCTGGCTTTTGAATGGACAGCTCCAGCCTCTCTGTGGAGGCTGAAGTACAGTGAGGAGATAACAGATGCACTTCAGATGAGATGGAATAGAATTTAGTGCTGCAGATGTCAGGGCCTGATTACTATCATCAATGAAACTT